CTTAATTATGGAGTCAGGTCAGCACGTAGCATTCCTTCAGAATGCAGCCAGTTAAGCATGGATCATTCCTTCAGGATGCAGCCAGGTAAGCATGGACCATTCCTTTAGCATGGAACCAGGTAAGCATGGACCATTCTTTCAAGATGCAGCTAGATAAGCACAGACCATTCTTTCAGGATGGAGCCAGGTAAGCATGGACCCTTTCCTGAGGATGGAGCAAGGCAAGCATGAACAATTCCCTCAGAATGCAGCCATGTAGGCAGAGACCAACCCTTCAGGTTGCAGCCAGGTAAGCATGAACCGTTCCTCCATGATAAGCCAGTTAAGCATAGGCAATTCCTTCAGGATGTAGCCAGGTAGGCATGAACCATTCCTTCAGGATGCAATCAGGTAAGCGTGGACCATTATTTCAGGATGCAGTCAGGTAAGCATGACCCATTCCTTCATGATGGAGCCGGGTAAGCATGAACCATTACTTCACCATGGAGTGAGGTAAACATGAACCATTCCTTCAGGATGAATCCTGATACGTATGGACCTTTCTTTTAGTGTGTAGCCTCATAAGTGTGGATCACTCCTTCAGGATGGAGCCAGGTAAGCATTAACCATTGCTTCTGGATACAGCCAGGTAACTACGTACCATTTCTTCAGGATGCAGCCAGGTAAGCATGGACTATTTCTTCAGGATGGACCCAGGTAAGTGTCGACCATTTCTTCCTAATGCAGCATGGTAAGCATGGATTATTCATTCAGGATGCAGCCAGGTGAGCACAAAACATTCCTTCTGGATGGACCCAGGTAACTGTGGACCATTCTGTCAGGATGCAGCCAGGTAAGCATGGACCATATTCCATCAGAATACAGCCAGGTAAGCATGAACCATTTCTTCAGGATGGAGTCAGATAAGCATGTGCCATTTTTTCAGAATGCAGCCAGGTAACTGTGGACGATTCTCTTAGAATGGAGCCAGGTAAGTATGGACCATTCCTAAAGAATGCAGCCAGGTAAGCATGGACCATTCTTTCAGATGGAGTCGCGTAAGCATGAACCATTCCATCAGGATGAATTCAGGTAAACATGGACCATTCCATCAGGATGCAGCCAGGTAAGCACGGGCCATTCCATTAGGATGCAGCCCTGTAAGCGTGAACCATTTTTTAAGAATGGAGCCAAGTAAGCAGGGACCATTTTTTCAGGATGCAGCCAGGAAACTATGAACCATCCCTTCAGGATAGAGCCAGGTAAGCCTGGACCATTTATTCAGGATGCAGCCAGGTAAGTAGGAACCATTCTTTCAGCACGGAAGCAAGTAAGCATGGACTGTTCCTTCAGGATGCAGCCAGGTAAACATGGACCATTCCTTTAGGATAGTGCCAGGTAGGTGTGGATCTTTCCTTCAGGATGGAGCTAGGTAAGTATGAACCATTCCATCAGGATGCAACTTGGTAAGTATGAGACATTTCTTAAGGATGGAGTCAGACAAGCGTGTACCATTCCTTCTGAATGCACCCAGGTAAGCGTGGGCCGTTCCTTCAGGACGCAGCCAGGTACGCATGGACCATTTCTTCAGGATGCAGGCAAATGAGCATGAACCACTCCCTCTGGATGGAGGTAGGTATGTATGCACTTTTTTTCAGGACGCAGCCAGGTAAGCATGGACTATTTCCTCAGGATGGAGTCAGATAAGCATGGCCCTCTCCTTCAGGATACAGCCAGGTAAGCGTGGACCATTTCTTCAAGATGGAGCCATCAAACATGCAGATAACACCACAGCACCCTTGGTCCAGTTGACTGGGTTTGGTAACATGGTGGCAAAACCAAAAACTTGTAAACTAGTAGAAAAATGTTTTTTAGCTCATGTGTCCTCTTCGGACCAAGCTCAGACGCTGGTGCCCTCGGTCAACCTCCCTCCGTGGATGGAGATCTTCTCCTGCATCAGCTTCTGCCAGGGCGTGTGCCTGTGCAGCCCGAGTCCAGAGTTCCTGTGAGTTAAATTTGGCAGGGAAGGGCTGCTCTGAGGCAGACACCACAGCAACATTGGCGCCTGGGGAACTTCAGATCCGAGGGCACCTGAAGACCGGGTTCCCACCCGGCTCCCTTCTCCGGTAACCCGCCACGATGTGGGCAGCCTCGAAGAAGGCCCACGAGCAACTTACCGAGTACTCCAGGGAAGCGAGAGCGCACAGCCGGGTATGGGCTCCAGGCAGAGGTGAGCGAGCCAGGGCTGGAAAACTAAAGGTGACGTGAGCGTGAGATAATAACAGTGCAGCTTCCAGAACATCGTGGAAGGCACCGCCTCAAGACAAATATTTTTTGAATTTCTAATGGAAAAATGGCATTTCTTTTATTTATTTTTATGTATTTTTGAGTGTTAACAAATAGTTGTAGTGATAATTAGCATCTTTGTATATTTATTGAAAACCAGCACTAAATCTGTATATTTACAGAAAAATGCCTCAGACATAGATAATAGCACAATTCCATGTTTGTGAATTGACAGCTTCCTCTAAACACAGAGTAGAAATTCAGCAATTATCACTACAGCTGTTTGTTAAAATTTGACAATAGATAAATAATGACTAGAAATCAATCTTTTCATTAAAATTCAAGAAACAAAAAGTATCTAAAGGAATTTCATTATTCCTTTGAAAAGTCCAGACTAGTCTTGAGGAGGCTCCTCTACATACGTTGTGGTGTTTCCATGTTCATGGGCCCAAAGTGGTCTTTTTTCCCACAAATGTGTAGCAAAATAAAAGTAAAGATCTGAGGTCATATTGGAGAGGGTGGAGGTGACGTGGGCCCTCCAGCCTCAACTCACCTTCCCGCCTGCTTTCATTCAATCGAAGGCTCAGGCAGCACACACACATGCACACACACACGTGCACACATGTACACACATGCAATGCACAAATGCACACACTCATGCACACAATTCTCATACACACGGACACACACATACTCATGCACACGCATTCACATGCATATGGACACGCACACACATTTGCACACACGCATACACATATGCACATTCACACACATACATGTGCATGCGCTCTCATGCACACACTTGCACACTGTCACACACACGTGCACACTCACACAATCAGTGCTTGTGTCAAAATCCTCACATGGCTGTTCCTTCTACCCACTGGACCAGCAAATGTGTTCTTGTCCCAAGTAACCTGAGTCCCTCCAAAAAAAACAAAGAAACACCACTGATTTATGTTTTAGATCTTAACTCATCGAAAACACTGAGCTTGGCCAGGCGTGGTGGTGGGCTTCTGTAGTCCCAGCTACTCAGGAGGCTGAGCCACAAGAATCACTTGAATCCGGGAGGTAGAGGTTGCAGTGAGTCAAAATCGCGCCACTGAACTCCAGCCTGGGCGACAGAGCAAGACACGGAAGGAAAGGAGAGGAAAAGACAGGAAAGGGGAAAGAAAAGGAAAGGGAAGGATAGGAGAGGGGATGAGAGGAGAGGGGAGGGGAGGGGAGTGAGATATGATCTGTACCTGAGAATTAATTTGGTTTTCTTACAAACCAAAAGGCAGGATTCACAATCAAGACAAGGCGATGACGGACAGGTGTGCACACATGGAACATGCGGTGTGTTTGGCTGCAGGAGAAGAATCCAGTTTTCAGCAGGTGAATGCAGAGAAGGCCTGCTGCTCAAGTCGAACAATGTTTCCGGGATGAACCATGTTTGCAGCCCTCCATTGCCCAGGATGAACGGTGTCCCCAGGTGCCTGGCCCTTTTATCACCCAGACCAATGGTGCACCCAGAGGGAGCCGGGTTCAGCCCTCAAGCAAAAGGCCAGCAATGGCCAGGAAGGAGCTTATTCAATGGGATTCTCTGCAGAGTTTTTCTGACTTTCAGCTTGCAGGGATGTGGGCACAGAAAACAAGAGGCTGACTTCTCAATCAATCGTCACTTAAGGATGCAGAGACAGCAGAAGGCCTTTCATTCATGACTTTTAGCATTTTTTCTTCTTTTTCAGAAAATCCACGCCATCTCCATATATGCATGCAGGCATGAGTGTCTGTCCGCCCCTTAACTGTGGAGTTAAGAATAATGCGATTACTCATGCTGGAAAAACAAGACAATTACCATCATAAAAGCCCACATAGTTTACAGATCTTGGAACTTGAACTTTCCTTGAAAGATAAATATAGTAGTTTACATTTTGGAGCTGGAGACATTATCTTCCTTTCTCTTTTCCCCTTCCACCCTTCTCCAGTATACTTGCCTTTATTTTGAATGAGAAACAGGCAATGGGGGGGGTGGGTGCCACCTCACACAAAGAAACAGGCAATTACGTAGAAACTATGCAGTCAAAAAGCCAGAAGTGTCTAAAAGCACAATGAGTCCCCCTGTCCATGGCGCGGATGCTCCGTCCACCGATGGCACAGCCACACTGCCGGTGCCTGGGGACCACCTTCCTCCTTGAGCAATGGTCACTGAAGCAAACACCACTGTCCGTAGATGCTGTCAGCATCCCCCGCCGAGGTCTGTGCTGTGAGAAGGCCGGTCAGTAAGCAGCAGCGCCGGTCTGCAGTGACGAGGAGGACCCTGAGTGGGTGTAGGGCGTCCCCTGGACATCAGCTGTGGGTCAGGTAGACACAGAGAAGATGCCAGTGGGCTGGGCACATTGTATCCACCCAGAAAATGGATCTGGTTTTGATTGAAAGTCTTCGTAGAGAGAACGCTTGGATTTATCTTGGGGAAGACGTCCCTGTTAGGATGTAGACGGGGATGGATGTACTGTGACTGTTAGTCCAGGACACAGACGCTGAGTGAGTGAGGTTTGGATGTCTCGCGTGCCCTGGGCTGGAGGCTGGGATTTCCACGTTGGGTGGGACATGTGTCAGCCACAGGGACTCACTGGCAGTAGCAGTTTATAGAGAGGGATTTCTATTGAAGTCATTCACTTCCTCATTTACCTCTGTCCCTATATTTGCAATCTTGTCTGGGTCCCTGATGACCGCATCCTAGAGTCCCAGTCTCCTGAGTTAGAGGACTTCATTTGTAAGCAAAAGTAACCCAGTTCAAGCTGGCGTAGGAAAGAAGCAGAAGGCATTCAACACGGCTGCAGGCACGGATGGCTCCAAGCGTGTAGCGGTGACGATGCCTTCAGCGGTCCCTTGGCTCTGCATTGGCTGGGCTGGCTTCCTCAGTCGGGAGCACTGCACACTGTGAAGGTGACCACTGCATGCCCTGTGCTGGGGGTGGGCAGCAGGCAGCATCCACCACAGACAACTGAACCTGTAGGGCACCCACACCAACAGCCAGCCCCATGGTGGCACTCCACGCCTGGGGGGCCAGGAAGCCTTGAAAATCTCGTTCCAAAGCATTGGACGTTGACAATAGCAAAGACATGGAATCAGCCTAAGTGCCCATCAATGGTAGGCTGGATAAAGAAAATATAGTACATATACACCACGGAACACTATGCAGCCATAACAAGGAACAAGATCATGTCCTTTTCAGGAACATAGATGGAGCTGGAAGCCATTACCCTCAGCAAACTAACGCAGGAACAGAAAACCAAACGCCGCATGTTCTCGCTTATAAGTGAGAGCTGAATGATGAGAACACATGGACACACTGGGGGGAACACCACACTGAGGCCTGCTGGAGGGTGGGGCATGGGGGGACAGAGACCATCAGGAAGAATAGCTAAGGGATGCTGGCTTCATACCTAGGTGACGGGATGGTCTGTGCAGCAAACCACCATGGCACACGTTTACCTGTGCAAAAAACCTGCACACCCTGCATATGTGCCCTGGAACTTAAAAGTTGAAGGAAAAAAGAAAAGTGAAAGCAGGCACAAATCTTTCTCTCCCTATGCCACACACCTGTGTGCACGCACACACACACACACATACACACACACACAGATTTACAAAAGCAAGCAGTTTGGACACGCGTGGACTCTGCACTGCAGCTGTGGGGTGGGATTCTCTCTGCAGAAGACCCTGGCTGTGGTCTGGCCTTAGAGTCGGTGTGTGCCATCGTCCCCACCCCTCCGCTTCCTGCCCCTGCAGATTCCTGCGGGCACTGGGGAGTGAATTCTCTGAGAAGTCTTGAGATCATGAAACCTGTGACCTTGCCCAACACGGTTCCCAAGCTCACTCGTGCCCAAGGCTTTATTTTGAAAGATGCCTGTCGGATCCCCCAGAGCTCCAGCTCTGCGGAAAACCCCTTGGGAAGGTTGATCTGACCTGATGTCCCCACTCTACAGATGAGGACGTTGAGGCCCAGAGGCATGGAGAGGCCTCTCCACGGTTGCAGAGTGAGTGACTGGAGCTTGGGCCGGGTGTGTGTTCATTGCTCAGCTCATCTTCCTGAGATCCACGGCTGCTGTCATGGGTTGAATTGTGTCCCCCAAAAAGATGTGCTCGAGTCTTAACCCATATGGCACCTGGGACTTTATGTGGAAACCGGGTCTTTGCAGATATAACTGGTTAAGATGAGGTCACACTGAGTAGGGAGGGCCCTAATTCAATGGCCGACATCTTTATTAAACGGGAAAACATGGACACAGACACGCACAGAGGAAGACAGCCATGCAGCAGCAGGGGCGGAGACCGAAGTGATGGGTTGACGAGCCAGGAGCAGCAAGGAGCTGGAAGAGGCAGGGAAGGGCTCCTCCCTGCGGGGCTCAGAGGGGCAGGGTCTCAGGCTCCTCCAGAGCGGGGTAAGAAACTCGTGCTGTCATATGCCACCTGGCGTGTGGCACTTTGTTACGACAGCCACAGGTGGAGGGCGGGGACCTCCTGCTGAAGAAGCTTCGTTTACACCAGGAGGGATGTGTGGAAACTGAACAGCCCCTCATCATCCCCCAACCGCCCCCACCCCCTTTCTAGCCCCAGTCAGTCTAGGGAATAAGAAAAACCTGTGATTCTAAAACACCTTCCAAAACAGTAACGGGCCTCATAGAGAGAGATAGGGACAGTTAGGAAAACTTAGTCATATTAGTCATAATGCTAAAGAAAATTATCTTCCTATTTGTTTTCAAAAATACCAATTTTCTTCAAATATGAATATAAGCCTGATCAATTGGTTCATTATATTGAAATGTTCAGTTACGTACAATAATAATAATTAAGCACTGAAATCCAACTCAAACCAATCTATTTAAATGAACCCGAATCTACGAGAAAACATCAAACTCGTATAAAAAAAAATGTGGGGTCACAATATTCTGCAATCCTTCAACGACATTATTGATAATCATGCTTGGTAAATCAGAGAAACCCCTTAGAGCCCAAAGAGAATGTCTAGGATAAAGCACTGTAGAAATAAAACCCTTTATACATTTTTTATAAAGCCTAAAAACAATCATGACCCAGGCAGCAGTTTCTACATATTTATATTTAATGGAATGCTATCAATTTTGTGCCTTTTAGATGCTTGGGCGATTGAAGCATTTTAACACTGCTCTAGAATAAGTGCTTTTTGTGAGTTCATCCTCCAGTTCAAACAGAACTGCATTTCCCGGTAAAATTTTACCTTGTAATTATTACACTTTTTTTAATCATCTTCATGCCACAAGATGTGAAGTCCAAAATATTTATGTTCCCGATTGTCAGTCTTTCCTTCTTAGAGATGTCGAAGTGAAAACAAAATAGACAACTCATTTTGTTGAATCAATCCAGGCGCATTATCACAGCAAGATTATAATTCGGGTGCACAAAACCTGCATTTTCAGAGCACAGCAAGGAAGTCGGGAGGTGCCGAGAGGCACAGCAGGTAACTAATATCAATAAAGTGGCCCAGATCTGTGTTCAAACAACAGAGTAGGGGTCTAACTTCAACCCACAAAAGTGACGAAAATCAGAGGGAAGCACAGAGTCCGTCCCTGAGCCTGCCCTGCCACGCGGCAGCCAGGGAAGGTGACCTGCTGTTGTCTGGGGTGGGGGGTGCCGCTGCTTGGTGACCTTGCCACACGGAAGGACCATGATTCCTGCAGGGCGGAAGCAAACCGAAGAACAGTAACAACTCTTCATGGGAGCACAGACAGGTAACCGGGGCACAGGGGTCCTGAACACCGAGAGGCAGCCCCCTCCTGCAAGCTCCTCTCTCCTCTCCCCTCCTGCCATGGCTCCCCCACTTCCTTCCTCCGTCGCAGCCACGGCCTCCGCATCTTGATGATCTCTTTTCCAGAAACAACGTTATAACGAAATAGAAGAAACCTCAATCATCCACAGGGAAAGCAGTGCTTTACAGTATTTAAGCGCATTTCTGAATGCACTGAGATACACGGCATTTGAATGTAAATTTTATGTCTATTTTGGCTTCCAGAGATCACTCTCTCTACAGCTTAAACTACACAGAGAATCTCCTACAATGAGTGAAGAGCAGACCCCAAAACACAGAGCATTTTCCCGGCTGCCCATCCACCACGTCTTCAGCATGCACGGCTGACTCTCAGGCCGAGAAACAGCACAGGCGTGCAGACCCCAGCCTCGTTCCCTGCACCACCCCCCCACCTCCCCGCGAGCCAGGCCGAACAGGGACCCCGCCACCCATCGCAGCCTCTGATGGTGCTCAGGAGCAGACCACAGCCAAACGTCCCAGTCACCCGTGGAATTCGGAGGAGGTGAGAAATGTTTCTGTTGTAAGATTTCGGGACATCAAGATGCTATTTTTAGGCGTGTGAGTCATCACAGTGTTCCCTGACAAGAGCCAGCCCCAGCGTGTGCAGCACACCCACAGCGAGGGGCTGGTGGAAAACAAGCTCAGCCCAGCTCACAGTGCCTGGGGATCCACCTGGTACCCATCAGAGACCACAGCGCAGGGCGTCGGGTCTTGGCCAGAGCAAGGTGGGTGACAAAGTAGCCCCAGGCAGCGGGCAGGGAGAAGACATGTCCTCTGCCCTCGGAGGAGCAGCTCCGCCCTGTGAGGGCTGTGTGGGGCCAGTGCCTCCTGCCCAGCCCAGGGCACCCACAGCCGGGCACACAGGGGGCAGGTGCTCACGCTCCGTCTCCGGGAGGCCTGGAGTCAGCAGTGCCTGGGGAGGCAGGGCAGTTAGATAAGGCGGCCGCCCCGAGGGAACGGCCTCCCTAGAGCATCTCACCCACGCCACCAGCACACACGAGCACACGCATGAGTGCGAAGGAGAGCACGCAAGAGCACAGAAGCACACACAAGCACACGCAAGAGCACCCCCATCATATTCCACAGCAGCCGGACACCCCGATACCCTCCCTGATGAAGCTTCGTGCCCGCAGCCTGGGCCCTGGCTCTGAGGTGGCTTTGAGGACTGATTGGAAGCTCGCATGCAGCACTGAGCCTCGCCTGGCTCTGTAGGTCCCTGAATAGCATCACTGCGTTCAGCGTCCTTTCCTTAGAACACTGAAGAAAAGAAAGCTGGATTCAGGCCCGGCACTGACTGTGCTCAGGGGCGTGTCCCCCACATCTGCACGGTTCTCACCAGTTCACTGTACAGACAGCAGCCACAGCCATAGACAGCACCAGGCCCTCCCACTGCTGTGTGTTCCCCGGGGAGCCAGCCACACAGCCAGCCCCTCCCCTCTGCCTCCCACCCACCCCCGTGTCCCCGAGAGGGTTACTCACCCTCTCTCTTCCTGCGGCTTGCGGAGGTTAGAAAATCTGATAGAAGGTTAGAAAACCTTCACACACAGGTGCGATGGCTCCCGTCTGTAATCCCAGAGGCCGAGGCAGGCGGATCACAAGTTCAGGAGTTCGAGACCAGCCTGGCCAATATGGCGAAACCCTGTCTCTAAATACAAAATTAGCCGGGCACGGTGGCGTCAGTAATCCCAGCTACTGGGGAGGCTGAGGCAGGAGAATCAGTTGAACCCGGGAGGTGGAGGTTGCAGTGAGCCAAGATCAGAATGAGACTCTGTCTCAAAAAAAAAGAAAAACAAAAAAAGAAAATTTAGAAAAGCACTCTTCCACGGCACGTGGCTTTACTAAGGCTCTTTTACCAAAGGAGTACCCAGTGGCCAGGGCTGGAAATTTTAAACTGAGAATAATAGTAATAATAATAAATTCTATTCCATAGAATAGAATAAATATCCATGAGCTTAAGCTGCAACAAATAGGTAATCAAATAAATACACAGGGCGGGGAGAGATAATCCTTTCTCACGGGAGACTCCCAGTGTGGAAGGAAAGAAGAAACAGGAAAAGCAGGAACGCCACCATTTGGCAAGCAGCATGGGAAAAAGTGTAGAAGGCAGCATTCTGGAGGGAGCTGAGATTAGAAGGCAAAAATATGAGAAACTGGCTATTTTCGTAGTCCTCAGATACCTTTTCATAAGACACTGAATCATGGCAAAGGGGAAAATCCCAAGCTGACGGGGGAGACGCCCGGCAGATGCCACCTACCCATGTAGTCAAAGGTGCACCACTAGGAGTGAGGCTGGGGGATGCCACGTGCCCAGCGGGAGGCCCCAGAAGGACTTGGCATTCTGGCCAAAAAATGCATAATTTTAATTTATTCATGAAGAAACGTCAGACAAACCCAGACTGAGGGGCGTCCTATAAAATCAGCTCTCCAGAGCTGCCACGGTCTGGAGGGAAATTGAAGAGGAATCTACAGGGAGGAAATCCCCTAGCTGGGCAGAGACCAATGACACAGCGGCTAGAAGCAGCCTGGGCCCCAGACTGGGTCTGCGACCAGAAAAGAGGCAATCACAGGGAAATTGGTAGCGTTCACATAAGGCCTGTAGACCGGTTGATGACAGTGTTATCTGCTATGTGACTGTAAGTTTAACACAACGAATTATGTAACCACAGCCTTTGGGGAAGCCAGGTGGAAGGTAGGGCAGACACTTTATACTAGTTTTGCTATTTTTGCAACTCTTTTATAAGCATGAGATTATTTCCAAGGTGTATTAGTCCGTTTTCACACTGTTATGAAGAAATACCTGAGACTGGGTACTTTATAAAGGAAAGAGGTTTAATTGACTCACAGTTCCACATGGCTGGGGAGGCCTCAGGAAACTGACAATCATGGCAGAAGGTAAAGGGGAAGCAGGCACCTTCTTCACAAGGCGGCAGGAGAGAGAAGTGTGAAGGAAGAACTTCCAGACATTTATAAAACCATCAGATCTCGTGAGAACTCACTATCACGAGAACAGCATGGGGGAACTGTCCGTACGATCCAATCGCCTCCATCCCTGGTCACATGGGGATTATAGGTCAAGATGAGATTTGGGTGGGGACACAAAGCCAAACCATATCACAAGGGGAAAGCTAAGAGATAAAGGAAGGCCATTGACCAATGGGCATTCTTCACCATCCTTGCTCTGGATTTGTCTAAGCAAGGGCGTTGCCAAGCCAAATCTCCACGTTGAGAAGCCAGAGTTTCTGTGGTTTCATCTGTAAATGGAGTCCTTTCTCAGCCCCTGGCCTCCCCTCCATTCGCCGGGGACCTCGGAGGGACCTGGCTGGGCCCTGCTGCTGGGACTTACTCTACTTCAGGGCCCCATTAACTAAGGGCATCAGCGACCAGCCCTACACCAGCCTCTGGCTCCTTCCGTCTGCCCCGCTCCACACAGGAGCACGACCTTCCCAGAAAACTAGGATGGTGACCACCCTGCACTTCTGATTTGCTGCCTCCTCCAAGTGGATACCATCTGCTGCCTGCGGCCTCCACCAGACAGCCTGGCGGGAGCTCCCGAGTCCTGAGTTCTCAGCCAGGTGTTTTGATGTTTTCGCAGACTGGTTTTAAAGATTACCGGGTGAAAGCATAACAAGAAGGAAGGAATATTCTCTTTGGACTTGCCTGTAGTCACTCAACAAAGGTGATGAACCCCAGGAGCTGCCCTCAGCTACCCTGGGTGCAGAGGGTCCTGCTCCCACTCTCAGGCACAGAGTCTTAAGGCCACAGGCTGAAGGCAGAGCTCACTTTGTCCTGCTGGGGCTCAGAGTCTCCTGGGCGCACTGCCCCAGCTACACGCTCCCACTCAGGAGACCGTCAGGGGATGAGCGGCCAGGGGCAGGGCCCCATACACAGCCACCCAGCGCACGGTGGCCGGTGCTCCCCAGAGGTATGGGAGGCACCAGAAACAGCTACAGGTGGATCAGGTGTGGGGAGAAGGTACTATTATAAACATGTATACAATAAATTTTTTATTTTTGTTGGTTTTTTTTTTTTTGGAGACAGATTCGCTCTGTTCCCAGGCTGGAGTGCAGTGGCACTATCTCAGCCCACTGTAGCCTCTGCTTCCCGGGTTCAAGTGATTTTCCTGCCTCAGCCTCTTGAGTAGCTGGGATTACAAGTATCTGCCACCATGCCCAGCTAATTTTTGTATTTTTAGTAGAGATGGGGTTTCGTCATGTTGGCCAGGCTGGTCTCGAACTCCTGGCCACAGGTGATCTGCCCACCTCAGCCTCCCAAAGTGCTGAGATTATAGGCATGAGCCACTGCACCTGAGTTCTGGTGCAGAACGGGCCAAAACCTGTTTTTTAAATCACAAAGGAAAGTGGTCAGGGATGCATGTAAGATGCCCCATGTTTGCGTACTTACCTGAGCAGCCTCCCGACAGCACATCCTCCAGCCCTCCTCAGCCTCACGCATGGCGGAGGACCTCACTCTGCCTGCTGCCCCCCAGGATGTAGCCTCCCACTGCTGGCTCACCCTCAGTCACACTCGGCTCCATGTGAGTGACGCCCCTCGGCAGGAAGCTTCCTTGGGTCACTGTCCACATGCCATGAGGCCCCAACCCCCCACCCCACGGGACCACCCTCCTCGAAGCTCCTTCAAACACACACCGGAGCTCCCGTCTGCTCTTTCTGGAAACGCACAGAACCCTCTGCGGGAACTCAGAAGGGAGCACTCAGTTGCCCCTTCATGAACGAATTATTCCTATTGGCGCTTAAAGCAAGTGTCTGTATTGTGGGCAAAGAGCGTTAGAAATGTGCCGTGGAAAGAAAAGACTTTTAATTAAAGCTTCTAACAACAGGGCCAAGAAACCAAAGGTTATGGGCAAGGCTCTCACACCCCCGCCTTCTGCATCTCCAGACAGAACCTGCCGAGCCAGGCACAGCCCTGGGACCTCGGGGACCGAGGACGAGGTTCTGTCATCGCCTGTCATCGCCACTGCTCTTACTCTGAACTCGCTGCCTGTGGATGCCTCCTCTTCTCCCCATGCCCCTCCTCTGAGTCTGACACGAGGCGTGTGTTCCTGGCTGCTTGCATCCCACCTGCTGAGTGTGTTAGCTAAGCTATTCCCTGTCGTCACACTCAATGTGGCAGTGTGACCGCGTCAGTTCTCACCTGCCTTAAGTCGGCCCAGGCTGCATGCAGCCTCCCGCATGCCTAGAGAGGTATGGGCTGTAGGCACCATCCTGGGCCCTGGGACTCCAGGAAACTCCGGCCACGCCCTCTTCTTGCACTTACTCCGAGACTGTGAAGTGTATTCACAGGCTTCCTGGCCTCTGTGAAAGGAACTGGAGGAACATTGATCAATTTCAAACACATGCCTGTATCGGTGAGGAGTTGGAGAGGCAGAGTTGGAGCATCGCCCAGAAGCTGCGCTCTGTGGCCACGAGTGGGTGTCCAGCCCCTTCCAAGCTTGCACCAAGGAGACACTGGTTTTCTGCTCATTGTGGTAGAACGAAGCCCCTAAGAGTCAGTGCACAGAACAGAAGAACTGGACCTCCAACAGGCTGAGTCCCAACACGAGGCACCCAGCAGAGAAACTACCTTCACGGTCCCAGCCTTCCGCAGCCACAGAAGGGCACACGCAGGGGCACGCGGTGTTCACAAAAGCTTCATGACTGCGTTCGAAGTTTGTTTTTTGGGGTTTTTTTTCTTTTTCTTTTTTTTTTTTTTCCAGTGAGAGAAGTTTTACTGAAAACTTTTTCTATCTGGCTCATCAGATCTCAGGCCGTCTCTGGTGGTTTTAGCTGCTTTAATTTAATTAACTTTAAAAGACCTAGAGAGTATTAGTAAAATGTCCTCCCTGGTCACAACTCCATGGATGTTAACAACCTGCCCAATTACAGGGAGGGGGTCCCGACCCCTCGCACCTGCTAATTAAAATTGCTAATCACCAGCAATTATCTGGCTGAGCTTTAGAAACGGTTTGACCCTTTGCCCACCAAGGGAGCGATGTTTGCGTCCCCTCCCCGGAGCCGAGCCAAGCTGTCCCCGGCGCCTGCCTATTAAGTGCCACTAATAGGAAATCAACAAAAGCGCCGTGACATCTGTGTGGACGTCCCGGGCCCCAGGTCTGAGTGCACAGGTGCTGGCCATGAGGCTGCCAAAGAAAGTGCCAAGAGCAGGAAATTCACCAACAATGAGGCGGACTGTGCTCGCTGCGGAGTCGGCATCCCCATCACCCGCAGCCGCGCCTTGGCCTCCGGATAATGAGGTCCCAAAACCAGGCAGCCTTTGTCCTGAGCGGCTGGCTGGCCAAAAGCATTGGACAGGGATTTTTAAAATCTCTTCTTTTTAATGACTCTTCTCCCTGCTCAAGCATAAATGAAAGATGTTATTTTTTGAAAAAGTCCACTGAGAGGATCTCAAATGTGTGGCCTTTATGTTGCAGGGAGGGCGGGGGTTCCTACTCTTGCTGCTGGAGAGCAGAAGTGTCCGTTCATCGCTGGGTGGGAGCGGGCTCACAGGACAGACCGTAATTGTGATCTGCTGCTAGGAAAAGGTTCTGGGATAGTTCGGGCTCCCAAAAGGCGGCTTCCTGGGAAGCTCGTAGGTTTTAGCGCCCCAGTCCACAGGTTTCTGCAGTGCCCGCTTCTTCCCCAAACTATCATCTTTTTAAAACACCCCTCGGCCCATTCAGCAGATTCACAGACACATCACACTTTCTTTCTTGCCATTTGAGGATGAGATGGTCTAAGTTTAGAAATTCATCCTAGGAGTGGTTTCAACAGCTCTGGATATAAAAACAGCGCAAGAAGGAAACGCAAATGTAGCTGAGTAGGACGCGTGTGATTTCAGACCCAATTACCGGCAGACTGCAAAGGAGACAGATGCAGATGGCTCCAGATGCGGGGAAGTGCGCTCCGGTCGAGGGTTGTGATCGGGGATAATCATCGCCCACAGCGGCCTTTGGTCCTTTATGAAAAAATGGAGTGAATAAAATAAATTATTTTACCCCATGGGTTTCAATTCCCTGCTCCCCCTCTCTTAGCCTCCCCCTCCATCTCCCTGCAGCCTGGGTGTGGCCTCCAGTCGGCAGGTGGGCATCGAGGCCTCGGCACAGTCTGGGCTTATATCTACAAGGGGAGAGGAGCTTGGCATGGTCAGAGGAGTTTTGCCAAAGCCATGGCCATTGCCAAGGTCCACTCTCTATGTGTGTCTTAGCTGGAGTGGCTGGTTTCTGGAATTCAACATGTAAATGCACCAGTGATCCCTCTGGGAAGCCAGGAAAAGGCAAGTTGGAGCCTACGGCCGCGTTTCATCTGGCCTCTGTGCCCACGTCGCAGCTGGGCGCCTCCACCCTACCCCCGCACAGAAAGGGGACTGCCGGACACAGGCTCCAGAGAACAGGGCTGCCAAGACCCAAGGAGGCCTCCCCATTGCTGTACTGGGGAACCGGGATGAAGGCCACCCCTGCGTTTGTCCAGAATGAGTGGAGACTGGACTTTGGGGCTGGATCCGCCTGCAGGGCTGAGCAGAGGTCAGCAGGCATTTGTTGAAGGTGCTTCCTGCCCCTCCCAGCCTCTGCCTGGCTTCCGCATTAGCCCCGGCACCTGGGATCCTGCATTTTCTTCTTAATCCTTTATCCAAGGCCAAACTTGATAGTTCTGTCTGTTCTTCCCCCAGTTTTCCTCCCCTCTACCTAACAGGTTTCTGGGCTTCTTACCCACACCCCCAACCTCACCACAATCTTTGTTTCCAGTGTAGTAAATACATAAACCAGGACCATAATCATTGATGGTCATTCTCAAGTACTATGTACCGTACACAGCTGTCTGTGCTAGACTCTTACACGCTGTCCGCGCAGCAGGTTTGTTCACACCAGCGTTATCACACCCACGTGAGGGATGCATTGTGTGACCCCAGGATGGCTGTGATGGGACAAAGCCTAGCACACACGATTAGGTATAGCAGTCATATTTGATAATGGTAACAAATGATCATGACACAGGTTGGTGTATTTATTATGCCATACTTCTTATCATTATTTTGGAGTGTGGTCCTTCTATATATGTGCAAGTTAACTGCAGAACAGCCTCAGACAGGTCCTTCGGGAGGTGTCCAGAAGAAGGCATTGTCATAGATGATGGCTCTGTGTGTGTCACTGCCCCGAAGACCTTCCAGTGGGACAAGATGTGGGGGTGGAAGACAGTGATGTTGATGACCCCAGGACCAGGCCAAGGCTAATGTGTGTGTTTTTTTGTTTTTAGCAAAAAAAAAAAAAAAAAAAAGTTTAAGTAAAAAATAAAAAAAATTAAAAATAGAAGAAAAGCATATAAAGATATAAAGAAAGAAAATATTTTTGTACAGCTGTACGATGTATGTTTTAAGCTGAGTGTTATTGTAAAAGAGTCAAAAAATTAAAAATATTCAAAGTTTATAAAAGTAAAAAAGGTTATAATAAGCTAAGGTGAATGTATTATTGGAAGAAGAAAACTATTTTTGATCAGTGTAGTGCACCAAAGTGTACAGCGTTTGCGAATCTCCAGTACAGCACGGTCACGTCCGAGACCTTCGCAGCCACTCCCCACCCACTCCGACTCACCCAGAGCAACTTCCAGTCTGCAAGCTCCGTTCGTGGGAAGCGCCCTGGGTAGATGTGCCCGTTTTTATCTTTTATACTGTATTTTCTCTATGTTTAGATATATTTAGATACATAAATGCTTACCATTGTGTTGGAGTTGCCTACAGTGTTCAGGACAGTCACACACTGTGCAGGTTTGTAGCCTAGACGTCAGAGGCTGCGCCGCAGAGCCGAGGTGTGCCGCAGGCGCTACCCTCTAGGCTTGTGTCAGTTCACTCTGCATCAGGTGTGTTCAATCTCTTGGCTTCTTTGGGCCACATTGGAAGAATTGTCTTGGGCCACACACAAAACACACCAACACTAATGATAGCTGATGAGCTAAAAAAAAAAAAAAAAAAAACATACTGTTTTAAGAAAGTTTACGAATTTGTGTTGGGCCACATTCAAAGCTGTCCTGGGCCACATGCGGCCTACATCGGTTGGACAACCTTGCTCCAGATGTCCACACAGCGATAAAATCGCCTAACAACACACTTCTCAGAAAGTGCCCCGCGGTGAAGCGATGCATGGCTCTAGTTTTGGATGCCCACCTTGTAGCTAACCTTAAAGAAACTACCTAATTGGTGTATCATCGAAGAAGATCCACATGTAACTGAAAAGACCATTAAAAGACTTCTCTTACCAACTGTGTATCTGAGCGAATCAAATTATCTTCATCCACTTCCACCAGGAAGAGATCTGAGAATGCACTGACTCCTGCCAAGCCAGGCATGAAAGAGCTTGGCAAAGGCATATGCACCAAGACCACTCTTCTCATTAAATGGCTTTTTATTTGGAAAATACCACTTTTAATAAAAATATGTTAGATTCACACAGCAGGTATTTAATATTTTAAATTTCTCAGTTTTTGTATTTATTATTGTAAGTATATTAAGAGCGCAAAGTTGCCCAGAGACCAGGCCACTTGAGAACAGCGGCTCCACCCTACCACGTCCGTGCTGCGAAGCCACCCCACGCCAGAGGCAGGCCAGGATTCAGGCAGCTCCTGCTGCACACGTTGGAGAATTACTTCCCCTGGACGCTGCAGAGCCTTTGGAATGAGATCCAGAAAAGCTGCCACCATCAAGATCACCGCCTCCCCTGTGTGCCTGTTTCAACCCAGCGCCAAAACACCAGCATCCTGTCAGCCCAGAAGCTTTGGCCTGGCTCTCAGAAGGATGCCCGAGCAGCTCCTTGGTGAGAGCCACGGCAGAGAATGGCACCGGGGCCTCCGAGGTGGTGCAGGTGAACGGCGCACAGCTGAAGGCGATAAATGATTTTTTGCACGTCAGCCACAAAACCAGATTAAGGAACTTCCGGTTCCAGACAACATGAAGTAGATCCATTTCTCTCTATTCCCCTCACTAAGAACAGCTAGAACTGTATATTATACATCAAACACTCAAGAAAAAGCTGTGAAAATGAGAAAAGGCAGACGGGCTAGAGACAGCAGGACCTGAGGAAACATGTAGCATTTTCTTTATCCTCACGGAGGCCTGGAAAGTCCAGCCACCCAGAAACACTAACAGACACAGAGCCAACAAAAGTCCAAAGACAAGCCCGTTCTCTCTCTAGGTCAAAGGAATAGAGCAACTTAGCAAGAAGGAAAACTTTTCGACAACAGTGGCCGCCTCCAGCCAAGCACCAGAGGAAAGGTTGTGGCCCCGCCCACACTCCTGACGGGTGGATCAGCGGAGACCTGATGGAGAGTCTGACCTCCAGCCCCTGCACTCAGAAGGCACCTCCCAACACCCCAGGTGTCAGGGCACCTGGTGAGGAACCCAGACTTCCACCCCTAATTGACAGTAATTAGGCAACGCCCTCCTCCCCTGATGGTGTGCT